TCTGAACAAATGTTTGGTTTCTGCAGGTTAATCTCAGAAGTGAACTGCGTGAAAATGATGTCGAGCTGCAAAAGTTGATTCAATAGTTTAATTGATTGTTTTTTGATTGTTTAATTGATTTGTAAAAGTTGATTCAATAGTAGATGATCGGAAATAAGAATTATTGCTTATTTTTTGATTGCGATAATTGATTTGTAAAAGATGATTTGTAAAAGTTGATTTGTGTAATTGATGCGAACATAATTCTTATTTGTGCTTGTTTAATTGATTGAAATGTAATGGTTGATTTTGTTGATTTCAATCTGCATTATGTTGAAGGCAAAAATGACTATCGCAATGCGAAATGAAAATCGCAACGAGAGAATCGCAATGCGAAATGAAAATCGCAATGCGGAAATGAAAATCGCAATGCGTTTATAATTTCGCATTGCGATTATCTCGTTGCGATTTTCATTTCGCATTGCGATTTTCATTTCGCATTGCGATTCTTTCGTTGCGATTTTCATTTCGCATTGCGATTTTCATTTCGCATTGCGATTTTCATTTCGCATTGCGATTTTCATTTCGCATTGCGATTTTCATTTCGCATTGCGATTCTCTCGTTGCGATTTTCATTTCGCATTGCGATTTTCATTTCGCATTGCGATTCTCTCGTTGCGATTTTCATTTCCGCATTGCGATTTTCATGTTGGGATTTTCATTTCGCGTTGCGATTGTATTTTCCGTGTTGCGATAGTCAAATGCATGCCTAATAGTGATAACAACTGAATAACAAGAGTTGGTTAAGTCAAAATGGTTGGCCTGAGTCATTAATTCAACTGAAAATGTTAAAAGTTCACACATAAAATCCACATAATACAACGTTTGCATTTAAAAATCACCTAAGTTAACAGTCTCAAAAGGTGAAGCCAATCGTGATTGGGATTTTAAAGATGATTGCCTTTTGCTTGACACCATATGAGCTTTGGATTTTGATGAGGATCCATATTTGGTAGAGGAAAAGATGATTTTGATGGCACTGGTGATCCACATGTCAACCTTGTATGACCACTTTCCTTGCACCGACTACATGTCGATCTCTTCTTCTCTTCACCCTTAGACGGTATACGATCGTGACTTTTTGGTCGGCCAGGTAGCCTTCTGTCCATGGCTGGTGGCAAAACTGTTTGTAAGTCATCTGGTATGTCCCACTCAGAAGGATGTGGAATAGGGTAGACAATCTCGGCATAAGTCTGTCGATAAACTTCTGTAGTGTAGCAATCCATAGCGTATGCGCTTGAATCATCTTGGTTTAAATGAAGAGCAACTTTTATAACATGGCCACACGGATAACCAGATGTTGCCATTTCATACAACTACACGTCTTTGCATTTAGATCGACTAGCCCATTTAAGTTATTATCCAGTACTTGAAACAAAGTGTTTGAACATGGTTCAACTCTCCATGACGTTGACTTCACAACACGTTTCGTTATCTTTTTTTCAGTCCATGGTGTAACACGATGTTCCAATGTTCCTGTAAATTTAAATAAACAATACTTAGTAAAATATATAATATGATAAGTTACGAATTCAAAGAAATAATACCTGCATGGTTTCTTTTCTTGTAGTACCACTGTTGAATAGAGGCTCGAAAAACTCCATTAACATAGTAATGGGTAATTTCCGGGAATGACGACTTAGAGCGTTGATTGATTCTGCACTATTAGACGTCATGAAACCATATCTTGCTCCAAGTTGATGTACTCTTGACCATCTTTCAAACCCGACATCTTCTAGTGTTTGAGCACACTGAGGCAAAACACGTCTTAAACAATTTATATGCTTATTGAAATCCACTTCCCGATAAGCTTTTACAGCCTTCCAGTATGTCCATTTGTGCTTTTTTATACCAGCAGACCTTGATTTTAGATTTCTATACAAATGAACACCACAAAGTCCATGAAAAGCATCTGGGAAACACCTTCTAACAGCGTTGTCAATTGAGTTTGCCCTATCGGATATGATTGTCAGATTGCTAATAGGACCTATGCAATCCCTAAGATGCCCCATAAACCATGTCCATGAATCAGAGGTTTCAGATTTGCCAACCCGTAAGCTATTGGCAATATCCCATTGTTAGCATCCATGGCTACTGCTAATAAGTTTACTCCAAGGTATCGACCTTTCAAATGTGCTCCGTCAACTATAATAACTGGGCGCATGCAAGTAATAAACGAACGAATCTACAAAATAATATACACAAGAAATATAATCATTTAAATGTGAAATGCATGTAACTAACAAAAATGAGTCAACAAAATTATATTGATTACTAACCGTAGCACCAATGGCGATAAACAGCAACTCAAAGCGTCCATCTCTATCTGTTTTGATATGAGTTACCGACCCAGGATTTTTCAGCTTTAAATTGTGACAATAAGCCGGCAGTTGGGCAAACGATGCTTCTGGCGACCCCCTCAACAATTCCAAGGCATAACATTTGGCTCTCCAACTTGAGAATATGATATACTAATCTTGAACCGAGCATTCATGTCAGTCATAATTTCATGTCCCCGATATACCCTGCCATTCAAAAACATTAACTCAGCCAGAAAACCACCAACACCTTTTTGTTTGCCTGTCTATGGTGAGGAAAAACTTGGGTTCTTGAACATGTATGTTTATCAATAAAAGTCCTAACTTGAAACATTTTGCAATCTTTTATTCTCTTTGCAATCATACGCCACGTACAGTTTTTGTCAATCATACACTTGTTTCGAAACGATCTTTGCTTGATTTGTTAACTTTTAGTTGATAGCCATCTTCCACACATTTTGTATACAAAGCTATCTTCAAGTCTTCCTTTGTATCAAAACAATCATCTTTCTTGACACGAATAACTTTTGTGTAACAATCAACTGCTTTCTTTGCCAACTCTTCTTCCGGTAACTGAAGTAATTCTGGCATATTCCAGTTATATTCCCGTGGCATTTTCTTTTCTTCGGGGACTTTTTCTTCTTCTTTTCTTCTTCAGGATTATATGAATTACAGAATGGATGTTCAACATGTTCATTCACAGTCGTAACTTCCTCCTCATTATCATCAACAACATCTTCCTCGGCAACGGTGTTTCATCATCAAAATTCGGGTATTGACCAATATTAAAATCATTACACACATGGTCTGTTTCTTCTTCTGAAACATCATCAAAATCCGTGTATTGACCAATATCAAAGTCCGGATATTGACCAGACCAAATTTCGAATACTGACTAGTACTCATAATTTTTTCTGTTGGCTCATCATCGTCTAACTGGTCAATACGAAAACCGGAATTTGGTGCTGAAAGTTGATTGGGATTTGGATTAGAGAAAGGTTGTGGGTTTTGAGAAAACTTAGTTGATTACTACCCGCTACTGACCCAACAATACTACTTCTAGGTTCAACAACATACAATGTAACATCATCTTGTGAAACACTAATGTAAGCAATGAATCGTTCAACATCTTCATTGTCGGTTAACAAATAAACTTTACCATTTCTCTGATAAGATAGCCTAAATCCACTTAGGGGCTCTAAATTCAATTTATTTGAAACACGTAGCATTAGAGTTTCATAAGTTAACTTTTGTAAAGACAATTTTAGTTGAAGATTCATGGGTAAAGGCATATATTGTAAAACACCATGAACATTATCCCATGACCCTCCAAAACACAAATCTATCCAAACATGATCAGATGATTTCATGGTTGTAAATTAATTTACTAAACAGACGAGCTGCGAAACTAAAACCTGTTGCCGGATTGGGAAGGATGTCGTTGGATATAGGAACGGATGTCGCCGGAGAGAGTGATAGATGGAGATGGAATGAGTTGCGATTTAGGGATTTAGTTTATGATTTCAGTGTTATATACCCAAAATTTCAGTGTTGTGATTTACAGATTCTCGTTGCGATTTACGGATTATCGTTGCGATTTACAGATTCTCGTTGCGATTTACGGATTATCGTTGCGATTTACGGATACGCGTTGCGATTTACGGATTATCGTTGCGATTTACGGATACGCGTTGCGATTTACGGATACGCATTGCGATTTACGGATACGCGTTGCGATTTACGGATACACGTTGCGATTTACGGATACGCGTTGCGATTTTATGTATTATCGTTGCGATTTACGGATACGCGTTGCGATATACGGATACGCATTGCGATTTACCCATACGCGTTGCGATTTACGGATACACGTTGCGATTTACGGATACGCGTTGCGATTTATGTGTTCGCGTTGCGATTTTCATATTCGCGTTGCGATTATTGAAAATCGCAATGCGAATTTGTACTATCGCATCGCGATTTTCAAGAATCGCGTTGCGATTTTGGAAACTGATTTGCGATTCTGGGGATCGCGTTGCGATTTTTATTTCGCGTTGCGATTTTGTTGGTCATTTTGGCAAATCCAAAAAAAGTTGGTTAAAATCGTATATTATAACTTTTTTTGGTCACTGAGGCGATTTTCTCTATCTTTTATGGGTAGAAAGAGATCTTAATAATATACTATGTATTATTTCAAATTGTTTAAAAATAAAAATATTTTTATTTTTTATAAAAAAATAAAATAAACAAACATAACACTTTTCATTTTCTTAAAACTCTTTATAAAATTATTTTTCTATAGCAAATGTATCAAATGGTAATCTTATTTTATATGTTAATTTGACTTCAATCGTTCTCCTCCATTCATCCATTGTGCAACAAATAATCGGCACACTGAGATTTGTTCGTGTTGAAAAGTAAAAACATAAGCTTTTACATTTGTAGGTTCACCTACAACATAAGTAACAAAATTGTAAACTAGTTTGAATCTAGAATGTGAATAAAAACATTGTCACATTATTCATTTAAGTATGATCTTCTTTAGAGATTTTGAATTCGAATAACAATGTTTGTAAAATGTATATTTTGTTAATAACTAAAAAAATTAAACAAATATTACCTTCCAATAATTCAGATTATTCAGAACAAAAGTCAAATCGAACTCAAATGGCAGCATTTTAGGCCTAAATAATACTATATACGATGATATCAGAGCAAAGAATGAATTTAATTTGAAACTACCTTGAAGCCAAGAGATTGGTGTTCAACTATACATAGCGATTGCTTGAGCTGAGTAACTTTTCGTCCTCTCCTTGACTGTCGGTCATCAGATGAAGCTGAAGACCTGACTTGGTAATCTTATTCCACTCATTTTCGACTCGAAAGAACATCCATTGAAACCTTCTGAGCATCTCTAAGGTGGTAACCATAAATACTGTCAAGTAGTTGTGGCGGAGATGAGCAGACAGTTTGTACGTCCAAGTACAACGCAAGATTAAGTCGCTTCCGATAACCCAAAAATATACCTAACAAGCGACGGAAGGGGGTTATGCATCTAACAAGCCATAAATGAATGAATAACTTGGCATCGGAGATCCTTACCCATCGACGGCAGTATATAAGATTGGAACAATAACTCGGTTTGCTGAACTTGAAAATTCTGGTAAATACACTAAGAGGATATAGTAAAAAGAACATCAGTATGCATATTATGATAAAATGTTCGAATATAATAAAAAAAATCAAGGCTATGCCACCTCGAACAGATTGTGTTCTCAAAATATACTGAAATCTGTAACACTTGTGTCCCAAGTCGTTTCGGCTGAACGGATTTATAATGAGCCTAAACTAAGATGCAAGAAATGCCAAAGTGCCCTCGGAAACAAAAGCTACATAGTGTTTCAGTGAGGAGAAAGGAGAGGTGAACATACCTAAGGTCCCAATCATGAGTTACGTCCCAGTAAAATGAGTAGAGTGAGTTAACAAGACTTGAGAAAAGCCAGAGGCGACGATAAACAGATGTCCATGTATCAGGTAAGACGTGATACTTAAGGGCTGAAAGAAAAATCACAGGGACTGCTGTCGAATATTTAGAAGCTGAAATCACATGCAAATTGGGTTTAAAAGGTAGAAGTTGACAGATAGAAGAGTAATTAGCCGTACAATATTGCATATCTCATGAGATAAAAAAGTAAGAACTAGCAAAATAAAGCACTGATGAAGTCGGGGGTCAACAAACTACAAGAAATATCTTTGGGCATAACCTTACTAGTTCATAGTTCCATAACCATGGCAGACGAAATATAAATTGGTAATTAAATATAAGCACCAGGGATCTAGAAGTATGTATTATTACCATTAAGAAGAGTTGTCTTCTCCTTTGTGTCCATGTACTGCCGCAAACACTGCATTAGCCTCCAAATATAAGGAATAACAAGAACTAGAGGAATTGCGGCTGAATGACTACCGCAAACCGAGTCAGCTTCAAGCCATGCAATTGTTGCTACCTACATGCCAAGAAAACCTCATTAATCATCTAAGAATATCAACATTGCATCATACAAAAAGTTTAGGCAGTTCAAACTACGGTATGAAAGAATAGATTCAAATCTAAGCATAATCAGCTTCGTAACTCATAAGAAAGATATGGCATTCCCCTCAATTTTTCCCTTTACATCATGAGAAAATAATAAATAAATCAGGAAGCAGATAACCTCAAGCATTGGTTTAATTAGAAGAACCATCCAAGCAATTCAACAGCTCTATTCTAAGGCATTGGAAGACACAACATTAAGACCCTAGGTTCAACTAGCTTAAGCCCTTAGACAGCAGAAGCAAGAGTAACAACTGCATGCTTGAAAAGTATCAAACCAAAAAATTATGTAGGTGACACAACTTACTGATATTGATGATTAAGGTCAAATAAAGTATTTACTTCAGTCAATCTGAGATAAATAAAAATTCCAACCAAGACACTAAATTCAGATTTTGATGGCACTTAGCCTTTTATTAGTAACCTATGTAAAAGTCATCGGTATTAGAATTACCTGGCGATGAACCATTCGACATACTGAACGCTCCAAATCTGAAAATACCTTCACACAATAAACAATTACAAGAAATTAGAAAATAAATCCAGCTCATCCTACCAAACCAAATTGAAATACCATAACCTTTGAGTAGATCCGGTAGGATAAGAATGCATGAGAAATCAAGAAAGCAGTTACCATAAGTATGAGCGGTAGATTTCAACTTTATCCATAAGAGTAACCAAGTAGAAGAAAACATTTCATAAGATTGTTCCTTTAATTTGTACAATTTAATAATTAATAGAAACAAAACAAATAGCTTGCTTAAGAAGAACATATGATGTCAGGGGTTCATACCTTGGCCATGGAGGTTAAAATGTCAGCCAAGAAGAAGTCGGGAAATGAGATTGGCTGTTATACAAGTAAACATGTAAAATTTGAGAGTGCATATCAGCTAAAGAGACGCTTGAGATTTCAATATAAAAGGAAAATCCAAAAGAAAATAGAGAAAACCCAAATATACATCCTATAGGAAGAGAAGTTGCAAATCTATTAAATGTGGTTCAGTAGCTCAATTAAAAAGGATTACTAGAAACTTGCCTGCAGGGGTAGAGCTATCCGCCAGAGTGTTCTTAGCAAGAAGTAACGGGATGAAAAATAGAAAATATCAAAGGGGAATGCCAAAACCAAAGCAACAGCAACATATAGGATCACCTATAATTTGTATTTGGAATTGTCAGAATCATAAACATATGCCAAATAACCCATGGCATTATGCCAAAACCAATGCATTATTGGCGACAAATATGAAATATTTACTGCAAGAAATTAGCAAGCAATAGTCAATGAACATAACGACTGAAACAAAATGATAAACTAGAGTCTTGTATAAATGCAGCTATGAAAGGATGCAGAGATAAGACAATGCCAGAAAAGACTCGGTAGATATTACACTGGTTGTGCTGCTGCTAATGATACTTCTCCATGAGAATAAAGATAAAGGTAGGCAGTCGTGCTAGTTGGGACTATAACCGTCATCCATATGCTACACTGCATACAGCAAAATAGAAAATGGAAATTGCCACACACAATCAGAGGACCAAATTTGCAATAAGTCATATAAAGCTTAAAGAAGCCAAACAAGTCAACATGAATGGCAGTTAGAATGAGTACCTTCCAAATTTCTCTCTGAGTAAGGTGGTTTTGATCAAGTTCAAATATTTTTGCATAATTAATAGTAGTACTTTGTGAGAAGACCCATAAACACAATCCCCATAGCCAAACCATCATCGTCTAAAATTGCAAGAAAAAGAAGTAAGATTCGACGAACACCCAATATCAAAGAACAATCTGTAGCCAAACTCGAAGAGATGTTAACTAACCACAAGAAGGAGAGGGTTATAATATAAGAATGCCTCGTACAAGAATAAGTCTCGCAGGTCTGCGCTCATTCTCATGACAGAACCCCATCCAATCTACTTAAATTAAACAATATTAAAAAGCACTTAAGAATTTTTGAAGAAAAAATTTCACTAGCATCCTACTAATACTGACCTTGCAGCAAATGAAGCCCCAAATCAGAAACAACGCGACCTGTAAAATCACTTCCATCAAAAGTTCATAAAAATTTTCAGCTAGGTATGAATTCAAATTTCGAACAAGTTTTTGTTTTCAGAAAAGACAAACCTTAAATTTCCACAGCAAGGAGGGAGAAGGCATTATAGAAGCGGTGAACAGAGGTGGATTTGTATCCTTAATTTCACTTCCATTTCCAAGTTCATCATCCCCTAAACAAATGAAACCGGAATAAAAAAAAGTCAACCGGTTACTGTAACGGATGACAGGTTAATGAAAATTTGAACCTGCGGGCTTGGAAACAGGCTTCCGGAGATGAGGACTGTGACAATAAGCGATAGCCGGAGGACTTCCAAACATGATTTTGACTCAATTTAAAAAAAATATTTAATTATATACTGCAAAAGCGAATTCCATTTTCGTTTTCCAAAAAAAATCAACTCTATAACAATTCGACGAGATTCATATATATTGATACAATGGCTGCCATGCTAAGATCAACAACAGAGAAGAAGAGATAATTCAATTGTGGAGAGTATTAAAGAAAAATTAAATTCTTTCTTTGTCTTTGTTCTTTCAACGTTTTTCATTTGACATAATTCGTCACTTGTGACTGATAATCATAGCAATTAATTACGTAATTAAGGTAATTGAATGTTAATAAAAATCGGAAAAGACCGGCTGTATAGAGATTAGAAGGAACCCAATTATTCGCGCGGAAAGGTTCCCGCTTGGCGCTTTGGGAGCGAGACGACGTCGTATCGGTTGATGTTCCGACTGGACATGCAGAACGAGACTTGAGAGGCGCCGCGTATTTAATATTCGAAATTTTGCAAGCGTAAAATTAAAAAATAGTTAGATTCCAACAACATTGGAAACTTATTAAAATTATTCTAATAAAAACATTTATTTTAATTTAAAATTATTGTGATAAAAGTAAACAAGACTAAATTAATTATCAGTTTGTTTTCCAAAAAACTAATTGCTCAATTTACTTTTTAAAAATATTAAAACTATAAAATATATATATTATGTACTAAGACGTTATAATGAGACATTGACATATTACATCAACATTAAAAGTTTGTTTAAGTTTTGTTAGATTAAAATATATAATTATAGACATTTAATATAATTTATTTAAATTTAATTATAGTTTAACGTTTGATGTTATGTATAAACAATTTTACTTATTATTTTATAAATATAAATATTTGCCATACATATAAATCCATCAAGTGATGTTAATGGTTAAAGGAATTGAAGATTCTAGATTCGAATAATTGTATTTATAGAATATGTGTGCGTCATCGATAATTAAAAATTAAAAAAAATATTATATTGTAATTAGTTTAGACTATTAAAAAAATATATTTACCTTACATATTCACTGAAACAAAACTACATCTTTATTTGATCTTAGTTTAATTCTACAAAAAGATCAGCAGATATTCTGATTTAGCTAACCAAATTACGGAAGGCAAGAGATTTGCCTATTTCATGGGGCCTTTCTGGCAACCTCAAGGCTCTTAGTATATTTTGCTTACAGACGTGACATATCCCTGGTTCTTGCGAACTGATGTCTCTGATCATTCCACAGCGCTTTTATGTCGATTTACTGTTTGTGTATTTTCATCACAATTAGAGATTTAAATAGCGTTATGTTACTAGAGTAGTGATCGATTTATGTTACTAGAGTATTGATCGTTATATAACGATAAGGGTGTGTTTGGTTGGAGGAATGTGAGATTCCTATGGGAATGAAATCCACATTCTCTCGTTTGGTTGGCCGGGAATGTCATTCCCGGTAATCTTACATTATCAATAGTGGATTTTTTTGTGTATATTACCGGGAATGTCATTACCTCCCTTTCCTTAGGTATTGTTGGATTACCGACGTTTTGGACTAAAATGCCCTTAAAAAAATTTCTTTCAAAAATATCATTATTTTATCATTGAATTATAAAAATTCTACGAATGTTAAATTACAAATTTATCTTTAAACTATTTTAGATTTACAAAAAAAGTCTATAATTAAAATTTTATATGAAGTTCATAGGTTAAAATAAAAATTTGTCATTTCATTAAACCTCTTTATATTTTTAATTTATAAAAAAATATATAAATTTTATGAATTTAATTTTTTAAAGAAAATATATAAATATTTTCAAACTTGATAAAAAAACAAATATATAATAAGGACAATTTGGTCAAATATACATTCTAATAATATTTTATTTATTTAATCAAACACGGTAATCTTACATTCATGCTAAATCAACCAAACACAAAATACAACATTCTCAGTAATCATATTCTCTGGTAATCTATTATTCCCACCGATAATCTTATATTCCGAACCAAACACACTCTAAATATATCGTCCAAAACTATTATTGCACATTCATGATATTTACCACGATTACAATAATACTCACTATTACAACAATCACAATAAGCACAATGCGATCACAATCATAATTTAAATCCTTGATCACAATAATAATACGAGATCAACTAACAATTCATCCACCAAAATATTCATCATCCATCTCTCCACTCCCATTGCCAATCCTTGTTGTTCTTCATGAAACTCGCAATTCCTCCACCTTCCCTCCCTTTCCATTTCTCTAACACAACCCTCCCTTTTTGTAATCTCGTAATGTTCCCCATCAATCCACGCTTTTACCAGCTTTACGATTTCACATTCAAGCTCTTCGTTTTGATCCCACTTTGACACTTTTTCTTCTCGAAATAGATCCAAAAGCAGTTTGTCACCATGTTCAAAATCAAACACACACTGTGGACTCTTCGGTTCTGTCTCTTCACTTGCATGCTGAAAATACGACCAAATGGAGAATATTCAATCATCAAGAAGTTTCCATGTTCCAACTTTAAGCGTTAATCTCAACTCTCATGGCTTATCTTTTGTATTTTATGTGAGTTAACTATGTTGTCCTTTGTCGTCAAAACCAGACAAGTATGAAACAAAAAAGTCAGCCTAATTGAACTAAACGATACAACTCTAAGGACCCTCATCAGCAGACACATGAGATTTTATTAAGATATAAGGTGCACTAAATAATGTTGCTCTACTTACTTTGGGTCCCATATATGTGTTGGCTGCTGTCTTTGTTGTTGTTGTCGTCGTCGTCTCCATGGGATCCTTGCCGACACACGGTGAGAATTTTTTACCCAAGATGTCAGTTTCGTTTTCGCCGTATTCATCGGAAGGTAAATATTCCGAAGTGAAATCGCTGTCGCACCAGCTTGAGCCGTTGCTGCTACAAGGAGTGCTGGATCCCGTCGTTGTGGTGGTTTGAGGGGAAGAAGAAGAAGCAAAATCCGACAGCGGAGATTTCTCCTCCACTAAATCACGGAACGATTTCCAGCGTATGATATCTTTGACTGTCACGGTAATTTTGATTTCTGTTCCTTTGTTTTCGACGTTAAGCTGTGATTGTGACTTCCTTTTGGACAGTTTACGTGAAAGGCTTCTGGACAGTAAGACCGAAGGAGATTTAACCGATGAAACGAAATGGATCCTTTTAATGGCGTTGATCATTGACTGGAAAGGTGAGATTGTTATTGATGCGGCTTTTGTTCGGCTTCTTTGAAGTCTTTGACAGTTGTTTAGATTTTCTCGGAAAATGCTGGAGTTCTGGCAAGATTTTATCGGAAATGAATTGAACCCGTTTGTGGAACACGAGTTTGAATCATCGTGGAGGAAATCTTTTAGCATTCGGGGCCTTCGTTCCAATGGAGAATTGTGCTTTCTCTGTGTAGAGTTAGGGTTGAAATTATAACATGGAGTGGTCGAAGAAGCCGCCATTGCAGCCAAAATAGAAACAAGAATTTGCTTAAAGTTTCAAAGAAAAGAAAGAGCTTGAAACTATATGAGAGTGGGAAGTAAAGAGGAAGAGAGAGAGGAGCAAGGCAGAACTCCATGGAATAAAGCTTATTTATATAGGTGAAGAAGCCATGGTTCTACTAGTAGTAAAATGCAACTAAATATTAAAATAAAGTCCGATAATTGTTTTAGTCTCTCATGTAACTTTATTTTAATTTAATTAATCATTATACTTTTCTGTTATTATTAATATTTTAAATTGTAAACGCAAATAATTATGGGGAGGTTATCACTGTTGTTGGATCCTTAGCATTGAATTATTGGAGTTTATGAGGGGTTATACTTTGCATGGAATTTGAATATACAGAAGGTTATCGTAGAGATGAATATACGGAAGTTTATGTGAGAGTCTATATTTAATATTTCTTAAAAATAACATTCTTTTATTATTAATATTATTTAATCTAATCTAAATAATTACAGTAAATATGTTAACATAAATAATTAATAATATTATGTTTTTGACAAATATAATAATATTATAATTTGAATTCATTCATTATTTCATAAAAGTATAAAGATTAAATCATGTAAAATTATAATATATAATTAAATATTTATTTATAACACAATAATGAAACTCAAAAGATTTGCATTTGGTCTTTAAACATATTATCTTTTTCTTATTTTGATTTTATTTTTTAAAATTTCTTATTTTGATATTTAAAGTTTCTTGTTCCAACTTAGTAATTATATTTTCATTACGTCAAGTATTACGTTATTCGTGTTAGCTAAGTCTTGGACGCATGACATTATAAAATTACTACCATTACATTAATAATGTCAATATGATATCATCATCTAAAAATAAATAAAAAATATAAAAGTAATATATAAAAGATTATAAAGAATTTAAATTTAAATTTAACTACGATTGATCGAACATTAATTAAGATTAATCAGTACAGTATTAGCTGAATGTTTATCTTAGATATATATATATATATATATATATATTAAAATTTATATTATATAAATAGGTTATCAAAATTGTTTTTAGAACTCTTCAAATTCAATATTCGATATATGAAATAATATATATTTAACAAATTATAGATTTAAGAGATCTCGATTGCTCTCCTGCTGCTGGTCTTACCTTCGTCATCTTGACATCAATTGCTCTATTGCTCGATTTCTTTTATGATGTTATTCCATCCATTCGTCATCTTGTTTTAAGAGATCTTGAGGAGCCCCCGTACTCTTGATTGTAATGCTTTCACGATACTCTTTCTTATTCAAAAAAATATATTTTTTTCTGATATAATTTTTTATTTTACTAAAAGTATATTTCTAATTTTAAAGGTTTTAGACATATTTTATAATTTTTAGTAATTTTTTATATACATATTTTTGAATTTTTATAACATTTTATTTCATTTGCATATGATCATGTCATAATAACATCATCATTGACTGGTGTCCCTGTTTATCCATCTATTCCCGGTTGCTGAGATAATTGTAAATATATGAAAATTGTTATCTTTCATATTAATTATCTTATAGCTTGAAAATTGTAAATATATGATCTAGTTATTATTATTATTAATATTGAAAATTGTAAATTCAACACATAAGTATTATCTTTCATATTAATTATCTTATAGCTTGAGGCTCCAAACTAGAAACAGTATATATAAAAGTTATTTTTATTAAATATAAAAGTTATTTTTATTAAATAAAATAAAATTTTAATTTAAAAATAATTTTTAAAAAAGTTATTATTATAACTATCCATAAATATATAATATACAATTATAATATTATATCAAATTGGATCAAGTTTTTTACTCTAAAACCGATTTGATCTTATTACACTTTTAAAATTGTACTAGATTCAATTTTATTTTAAAAAAAAATATATGACATAATTAAATCAAATCAATTCAAAACTTATCAAACTGGATTCAAATGTCGATCCCTACTCAAAGCTAAATGGACTAATAAAAATATATATAAAAAGAAAATTAGGAGCTCACTTTAATATTTCACTTGGAACGTATGACTAAGTATGTCATAATTAGGATGCTAATCTTACCCGATTACCACAAAACAATCCTTTACCGCGACATATGTACTATGTTTGTTTTTATCAAAACATATTACTAAGTTACTATACAGTGAAATTTTTCTTCTTTAAAAAAATTGACTGCATGTTCTTTAAATCAGACATGTCGCCGTCTAAATATATGATATAGCGCAGTTGCACGTGCGATATATTAGTTCCTCCGATTTGTGGACCCCCGCCCTTCAATACAGCATCCAATGCAACATATCGGGCCAAGCCTTGCCACTGTTAACATATGTGAGCTTCCTTTAATGGGCCCGCCAAAGATCTTCCGAATGGTAACCGAAACTGTGCCCCCCAATTCCAATTTCTTCATCTGCTTCCTTCGGTTTCCTCTTACATCTTTCTATTTTTCTTGTTTTTCTTTGAATATAGTAGTGCTTAAAATTAATACTTTTTTCTAAGAAAAATATTAGTGTTTGAAATGGGTGTGGGAGGCAAATTTTGGAAAACTTCTAAAACCCTACGCTCGATTCGAAGGGTTCGACTTGTTGAGAGACAAAAAGGTCGCCATTGATCTCTCCTATTGGATAGTTCAGCATGAGACTGCCATAAGAAGTAAAGCTTTTAATCCTCATCTCAGGCTTACTTTCTTCCGTACCATTAACCTTTTCTCTAAGGTACTTCAAATTTCTTTAATTTTCTTTTTGTCATTTACGTGAGTGAGAAATTTATACTGTTGATTTCCCTCTTCCTTTGCTTAAATTGTTATAGTTTGGAGTCTTTCCTGTCTTTGTTTTGGACGGAACTCCGTCACCGTTGAAATCTCAAGCGAGGATGGCTCGATTTTTCTGTTTCTCCGGCATTGATACTTCAACTTCGAATGTGACCAAAGAGAGTGTTTCCAAGGAGAGGAACGCGGTATTTACAAAATGTGTTAATGACTGCGTGGTGAGTTACTATTTCTTCTTTCATTTGCAGATTTGTCAGTAATTATGTTGTTGAGAATTGTTGTTTTTCGTTGTTAGGAGCTGCTTGAATTATTGGGAATGCCTGTGTTGAAAGCAAATGGGGAGGCTGAAGCACTGTGCTCAGTTAAATAAAGATGGTCACGTTGATGCTTGCCTTACAGCCGACAGTGATGCATTCCTCTTTGGTGCTACTTGTGTTATTAAATGTCTTAGGCCCAATTCAAAAGTCAGTTTTTCTTCCAACTTCGGCAGTTATTTATTCTGTTATTGCGCCAATCCAGTTACATTTTGTTTCAAGAATTTCAAGAATGGGGATGTTGTTTCATATGCAGGAACCATTTGAATGCTACAATATGTCAGATATTGAATCTGGGCTTGGACTGAAGAGGAAACACTTGATAGCCATCTCTCTTTTGGTTGGGAATGACCATGACCTAAATGGGGTTCAAGGGATTGGACTTGATAAAGCACTTCGTTTTGTACGATGGTTTAGCGAAGATAAAATATTTGATAAGTATGCTTTTACATGTAAACTTGTCGTATTATGTGCTTTCTATAGTCCTAAAGGTTATTTAGTGATATCATTTCTGTAACTGTTGGACATGATGTTTTTGCAGATTATATGAAATAGGTAAAGGTACTGTATCGCTCTCTCACGGTGAAATTAAACGTGCCGATGATTTTTTCCCTGGTTCAGATGAGAGCTCACCAAAGCCACAACAGTCTCATTGCTCCTTCTGCGGACACCCAGGCAATAAAAAGGCTCATTTTAATTCTTCTTGTGAATATTGTTTCACTGATAATAATGAGGGTTGCTTGCAGAAGTCTCAGGGGTTTAAGTGCAACTGCCGATCTTGTGAAAAGGTTCATTTTCGTAGTTTTCTTCCCTGATTTTCTCCTTTGTTACTATTGTTACTACCTCATTTCACACACTGATCTGTTGTGGTGCTTTTTCAGGCATCTTGCACTATTAACATTGACTTTAAAAGATGACTCTTAATTCGGGAACTATGAATTTTATAATTCTTTTGCTGAGTACTTTTTATGTTGTATGAACTCCAGGTTAGAAAAGACAAGGACAAGAAGAAGGATGAGAATTGGTGGATTAAAGTTTGCAACATGATCTCTAAGGAAACAAATTTCCCAAATGACGAGATCATTGAAATGTACATGTGCAACAATAACGGAGTGTTTACTGGTTTGTCCCGTAAATTCTCTTGCATTATTTTCTTTGCCTTTGGTAGTAAGGCCCTGTCTCCCGCCAACCCCCAAGTAGTTGTTGAGTAGAGTGTCAAAGCCTAGATATTCTTGTATGAGTTTGCTATTCCTTTCATTTGACATTATTTCAAGGTCTATGTGACGTAGGTTCTTTCCCCTATTAAACACATGTATTGTTGAGTTGATTTTCATATTATATTAAGATATTTACATCCTTCTGTTGCAGGGGTAGGTCCTTTATTGGAATGGGGAGATTCAAAAACTGAATTGGTAGTTGATTTTTTAGCTTATCATTATCGGTCATGGAACCCATCTTATATTCGGCAGCAGATGCTTCCTATGTTGTCCACTATGTATTTGAGAGAAATGGCTAGAAATCCAAATAAAACTTTGTTAGTTGGGCAATATGAGTTTCATTCTATTCAACGTGTGAAGATAAGATATGGACATCAGTCGTATGTGGTCAAGTGGAAGAAAGCCATATCTGATGAACTTAGTTGTGATGTTCCTGTTGAACAGTCCAACATGCAGGAAGAAGCTTTGGAAGTTGAGGAAGAGCTCATTGGTCTGTTCGATGAGTCCATCGAGCCCCGCATTCATGTTGATGAATTGTGGATCTTAACTGAAGAAATTCCTCAGTTGGTTCATTCAGCTTTTCCAGAAGAAGTTGCCAAATTTAGTCATGAAAAGGTATGGTTTTTCCCACTTGAAACACCTGAAATTATTACTTTGAAAATTGTACATTAAATATTATGAGAAAATCCAGTGGACGAACAGATTTGAGATCAAAATTATTAGGCTTAATTGGTTGTATACGTAATTTATACTGGTCTGAGGCTCTTTGATGGTACATAGTGGAGGAACATGATAGTGCGATTAAATAAATGTATCAGGATGGTCTGACATTACGAATTAATGGCAATGTTAGAACAATGAAATTAGACTAAGATGCATGCGTTGGATGTTACTATAATAAACTTTTGAGGCATTATTCAAAGGTTGCTATTTTGGAAGGTCAAGTGCTGACCTTTTTGCATTGCGGGAATTATTAGTTTTGGTTGAGATACTCTTATAAAAAAAAAGTTTTGGTTGAGATATAAAAACTATTGTCAATTTAATAAATAAAAAAATATATTGCCTTTTAACAAAATGATATGTGCTGCTCGTCACCTATTATTATACAAGGATGTTGGAAATGGAAAGGCCTCTAAAACTGCTCCATAAAATTTTCCTTCTTTCTATTGTGAATCCTGGCAGGAACTAAAAGAAATAAAAAGAAGAAAGACTTCAACATCAAGATCTGAAGTGTCCTCTGGGATGTCAGAATTATCAAAGCCACAAGGTGTTCAACTAAGTATTACTGAATTCTACCGTACAACCAAAACACAGTCTCAAGGCAAAACCAGGTGAAGATTCAGTCAAACATTCCAGTAGTCCAGGTGCTGGGTCATCAACGCAGAAGAGAAAAGCTTCAGGTCCTAAATTGTCCAAGGCTGCAAGACGCCGCCTTCTGTTTGGTTAAGAAAATTATATAGTTTCTGAAATCTTTACCCTTTTTGATGTACAAAATGCCACCTTAAGATGTAAATTTATGTTTCTTTTTGGTGTTAAGAGTTATAAAAAATGCAGCTTAGGATGGGCAACAGCACTTTGATTAATCTTCAAGTTTGCAATTTTATAGTATCTGCATAACTTTTACTGCCACTTTATCTCTTGGTTTCTTGCACAGCTTATGAGGGTATCTATTTGATTAAGAAGTTTGGTGCATACTAAGACCCTTATGTTGATTTGCCAACAGTACAAGGTGGAAAATATGTTGCAGCCGTTGAACAAACCTGACCCTTATTTTTAGACATAATGCTGTAATAAATGAGAAATCAGGCATGGAGGTACTGTGCATGAGCTTGGATTTGCAATATCTTCAGAACTGTCTGCCGTTAGGTAATAAGATTCTATACTTCATTTCCATCGGTTCTCTTCGTTCGTTATTGTTAAGTATCACAGAACTTATTTCCAATACTATTCAGTTATGAATCTGAATATTCTAAGAACATAAGAAGGTGATCATATGGGAGACATTCTCAGTTGTAATGACCAAATTTGCAGGTGATTTTAGCATTGAATGGAAAGGTAAGAATGTTGCAATGAGATTAAAAGAGCTCATGGAGATGCAGGTTTCTATTTTATTTTGATAAACAATCACTGAGATGCATTGCTGATTGCAGGTGTGAATTATATTTGGTGAGCAGAATCAGCCAAGAACAAGTTGAGGAGAAAAAGGAAAATCCCACTCAAGGTGTTTCTAATTTCCTCTTTAATTTTCTTGCTATTATAACACACAGTAAAAAAGAAAGTTTTGAAAATGAATAAATTAAAGGCTATACAACCAAATTGCCTCAAGAATAATAATAAGAAGGGTGCTTTAAGGTACCCTTCGTTGTGTTTCGGTCTTGGGTGCGGTGGTTCAACCATGAAACTGGTATACAAGATCCAAAGCCCGCAACTTATCACCAAGAGGATCAAAACCCTTGAAAGCACCCACGAATCTGTCATCAAAAACCCTCCTCTCTTCCGCCACCGCCGCAGACGACGGAGAAAGCTTTCTCTTTACCCTCTTGTTCTTGATGAAGCATTCCCTCATCCTCTCCTCGACCTTATCGATCGACGTCTTCGAATTCTCCTCTGCCTCCGCGTCATTCTCATCACCCACTTGCATTGGATCGGTACCATCCTCGTTGGCGGCGCCGTTGGCGGAGGATAGAGAATTCTCCGCCGCGGGAGGAGGAGGAAGGGAGAATTGGGTCTGGGTAGCGGAGAGGAAAGAGGAGAGTGAATGATGAGCTCGATGGAGAGATGAATAGATTTGGACCATGTAGGTTGGGTCGGACGTGATGGGGAGTTGTTTTGCCATCTGGGCTGCTTCCTCTAACGAATATAACAGCTCTGTTAATTGTATCGTCGCCGTTGCCGGTGGCGGCGGCTGCGCCTCCGCCATGGCCATGATGTTCTCCATGGTTTTTTGTTTCCTTAGAGACCGTGTTTCTCGCCGTTAATTTTTGTTGAAACAGTAGTTAGGGGATTTTGAAGAAGAATAGATACCATATAGATATTTGATAGTGGAACAAAACAGGGAAACCACGGCCTTTTTGTTTTTTCTTACGCTCAGCAGTTGTCACTGGGAGGAGTTTTTCAGAAATATGTAGTGAAGTTCTTTTTTTAATTGGATAAGCCCAACACTGAGTTTTGTTCCATCTATAATTCAAAGTAACAATAACCAAATCGTCTAATGATAAAATTATTTTTATTTTTTTAAGTATATTAACATTCATGTTTAATTAAAATAATTTTTTAATATAATTAGTAAATTAACGGTCGATATATGTTATTGATGAAATATTTTTATTTATATTTAATTAGTAATGTGATATATATTATGAATGCATGTCATACAACTACTTCGAGTGTTGTAGTACATGTTATATCATCACTTTGATGATATAGTATTTGTCATAACATTAATTGAATGATATGTCAGCAACATATATTGATTATTAGTTAATCAACGATTTTTATCTAGCATGAGTTATTTTGAAAAAAGATTAAAACGTTAAAAGTTAAATTCTCATAGTGATTTAGTAATCAAATATTACATTTAACCAACCAAAATTGACAGTGTACTTAATTGTGCTCTATCTATGGGTCAAATTTGGTTTCAAAACAATTCTTCAAGTCTAGGATGGTATTTGCCCAACTCCATACCTGTCTTATTATTTATGTTTTAATTAAATATTTAAAAGTAATTTTTTATATTTAAAATTTAAATCATTTCGGGCGGATCCGAAACAAAAGTTATTTTGTTAAAAACAGCGTTTGGTATGCTTTTTTCTAAAAGCATTTTTATAAACTCTCAACACTATACAGGGCAGCTTAATATAAGGTTAACATGATTTTAATTTAGAATATTATCATGTTTAACAAAAAAAATTATACAAAATTTATATTATTTTCGATTGTAATTGAAAAATAACATTGCTGGAGGTTGTGACTTACAATAATTTTTTTATAAAGAATGTAATTGAAATATTACTATGTTCAACTTAAAAAGTTGGAATTTTTTTTGATAAATTTTCAGTTACAATTTTTTTTATCGTTTTTAATTTTATATTAACAAGTTATATTTTAAAATTTCTTAAAAGCACTTCATAAAAGTATTGTTTAAAAGTAATTTTCAATTAATTTTTACCGTTACGTAGCCTCTCCTGATTGGCTTCAGATGTTCATTAACTGCGAAAACTTTATAATCCCCTCCAGCACCTCGGATCACTGTGGCATTGTTCTCCACCCTCTTGGGACTGGAAAAAGACGGTTTCATGTTAGAAGAGGAGATTCCTTCAAGTTTGAGAACTGCTGGGCTCATAATGAGGAGTGCAGTGCGATTGTGCAAAGAAAATGGACGAAAACAGCTGGCTCGGCTCTGGAGAAGATTCAAGCTGTGGGTTCAAGTTTAAAAGGATAGCAAAGACACAAGAAACAAACCGAAAAGGCTAGAGAGGTCTCCCTGAGCCAGAGTATTTCTTTACTGGAAAAACAATCTATATCAGACAGAATTGTTCAACAGTTTGGAGAAGCAAAAAAGGAGCTCAAAGGTATTTATGAGAGAGAATAAATCTTCTGGAGACGGCGATCCCTGGTTGATTGGCTCAAGGAGGGAGACCGTAACACCCGTTTCTTCCATGCTAGAGACAATGGACGCAGGAAGAAAAACTGGATCAAAGGCCTCCTCAATGCAGAAGGTGTCTGGACTCTGGACAGAAAAACAGGAGATTTTCACGATTGCCACTTAGTTCTTTGCCGCGCTCTTCGGTTCTTCAAATCCCGAACCAGCTGATGAGATCCTCAACGCCATTGGACGATGCATTACTCCGGAGGACAACGCCAACCTTTGCAGAGCCTTCACGGCCGATGAGGTGCGAGCAGCCTTTTCTCAAATTAATCCTAACAAAGCCCCCGGATTGGATGGTATGCCCGATACTTTTTTTCGTACTTTTTGGCATGTTGTCAGTGATGATGTTATTTCTTTCTGCCTTAGTTTGCTCAATGGACATATGGATTTTGATGCTGTGAACCAAACTATCATTGTACTGACCCCAAAAACTGACAATCCAGTGTAATGAAAATTTTCCGACCGATTAACCTTTGCTCGGTTATTTACAAAATTATGTCAAAATCCATTTTTAACCGTTTAAAAGGTATTATGCCCCGTTGCATATCTGAAAATCAATGTGCATTTGTTTCCAGTAGACAGATTTCGGATAATTTTTTGGTTGCTCATGAGTTAATTCATTATCTTAGAAGTTCCAGCAACAGTCCGAACAAAGAGTCATCGTTTAAATTGGATATGGAGAAAGCCTATCAAAGGTGGAGTGAAATTTCCTCTCGAGCGTCATGGAGAGGCTGGGTTTTGACTCTTCTTTTATTCACCTTATCATGAAATGTGTGACCATTGTCTCTTATTGTTTAAAAATTAATAGCCAACTCTCGCATTCTTTCAATCCGACAAAGAGACCCTCTTTCCCTGTAAGTGTCAAGCCCCCCCGGATCAACCATTTGTTCTACGCCGACGACAGCTTGCTTTTCTTGAGAAATTCCACACTCGAAGCCACGTGCCTCAAAAAGGTGTTGAGAACGTATGAAGCAGCTTCGGGGCAAAAGATTAATTTTGACAAATCCAGCATCTTCTTTTGCCCCGGAGCCACGGTTGAAAGAAGACGGTAAATGATGGAAATTATTGGAGTTAATGAGATCGACTCCCCAGGCACTTATCTGGGCCTCTCTCTCTCTCTCGATCGGTCGTACAAAGATCCTACTGTCCTTCGGTGGAAGATAAGTTTTCATTAAGGCGGTTGCTCAACCTTTGCCCATCTATGCCATGTCTGTTACCTTCTCCCGACCGGTGTGATCGATTCCATCTCCTCTAGAATTAGAAGATATTGGTGGTCGGGGCGATATGATACTAGAGGATGGGCGCATATGGCGTGGACGAAAGTTTGTAGACCAAAAAAGGATGGAGGCATGGGTTTCTGGGACCTAGGTCGTTTCAACATCGCCATCCTAGGCAACCAAGTTTGGAAGTTCTTAAACTCCCCAGGGTCTCTGCTTTTTAAAGTTATGAAAGCGAATACTTCCCTAATTCCACTTCTTGGAAGCAAAAGCCGGGAAGAGGGGATCATATGTTTGGACAGGCATTTGGAAAGCCAAAGAAGCTTTCAAAGAAGGAATTTTTTGGAGAATAGGCATGCAAAGTCAAGCTAAGATCCATTTCGATCAAATGGGGCGGTGCTAAACCAGTGGCGCTCGCTTCCAATTATATGGACAATGCTGACCAGCCCATGCTGGTTCGTGATTTTATACATGAAGGACTCCCTCGATGGAACGAAACCAAGATAAGAAGAGCTTTTCCGGAGCAGGACGCGACAATCATCACCAACACGATCATCTCTCCGGTCGAAGAGGACCGTATCATTTGGGAACACCATGATCGGGGAAGGTTCACAATGAAATCTGGTTATTGCTGGCAGCTTATGGAGGAGACCCCTCGTGACACTTTAGGTATATGGAAGAAGCTTTCCAAGCTGGCAACACTGCCCAAAATCAAGATATTCGGTTGGAGAGCATGTCTTGAGGCTCTCCCGTCGGGAGAGAAACTCATGCACGCTGGATTGGGCGATGGCCGCTGTCGAATGTGTAAGAAAGAGGTCGAGACCACCCTTCACGCACTTAAAGAGGAAGATTCATGAGATGGCATTTTACAGCCTACTTTGGTGGTTAACGATTTCCCTTCGTGCAAGGCTTGGTTCGAGAAAGCAGCTTCCTGCCTCGACAATGAGGGTTTCTCTTTTTCCGTCCTAATGAACTATAACATATGGAATAGACGAAACAAATTGTTACACGAGAACACTCTCTTCAACGAACAAAGCATTGTTAGCTCTCTTTGGAACTGAAGAATAGTTGATAGTTCAGCTCGTCTTCTCATACCAACGGCTCAGTTTCAAACAACCGTGATGACAGATGGAGCAAGCTATCGGATTCGTTGCTCGAGGTTATCACGGCATGGTCGTTGGAGGCACTGTCCGGAAACTGACTTCTCCTCAAACGGTCGAATCGGCGGAAGCAATGACTTTCGAGCTGGGGGTCCGCTTTTCATGCGATCGAGGGTGGAATCGGGTGATCATAGAGGGTGATGCTTTCTCCATCATCAACCGACTTAAAAACCAGCAAGAAGATCTCACAGTGGTAGGCTTGCTTCTCCAAGAACCGACAGGGGATCCGACTCTCTTTTCTTCTTTCTCTTACATTGTTCGTTATTTTCAGCTTACCACTCTCTTTATATATCACCGACTACGATTCTCCACCTAAATAAAAAAGGATTAGTTGTAAGCGACCATCATAACCGAAATTTTACCATCAACAAATATCTCCTGAAATTTCCTCTTGTTTTGATTGCTGTAGTTAAAGTAAAGCTCAAGGACACAAAGTACAATAATTGATAATTAGTGGAAGAACCTGGAAAGTAAAAGCAACCCAGAACAAAGGTATATTGTGATGCAATTGATGTTGAACAACCTAACCTAAAATGATAGCCCAGAGTTAGTTTAATCTTTATTGGCATTTGTTGTAAAGATGCATACATATATGGATAGATCGAAGGGTGGTTTGTGAAATTTTAAAAAAAGTTTATAATTTTTATTGATAATTTATCTTTATCCTGAAAAATTTTATAAATTTATTTTTATTGATAATTTTTTTATAAATTCGTTTTGGAGTTTTATATATTGTCCCGAAACCAATGCAATTTCATGTTGTAAGGTGATGACTATAGTATTAGTAAGATTGTGATTGAATTTTTTAATCTTTAAAAATTGAATTTTTAATTTGTATTTAATTTGATTTGAGTTTAAGAAGATTATATCTGATCTAAAATTTTACTTACTTTTTGAAATAAAAAATAAAACT